AGTCCCTCAGCCGCGTCGAGCCACACGCGACCTTGAATAAGTCCGCCATTTGGTTTTTTTAGAATTTTCAAAAAATGTTTTTCTCATACTTTAAACATGTCTTCAAATATATGCAAAAAATTATTCGTGTAAGTTTTCATTTTCCAAGTGAAAAAAATTCCCAAAAAACAACTACTTTTTGACATGTTACATGAGAAGCTCCCCTTAAATGAACTCTAATCGGGAAAAAAATTAAAATAGCAAAAGTTATCAGCTTTTGAAAAAATTACGATTTTCGCATTTTATTCACTTGTTATTTTTTTAAGTAAACAATTTTCCATATTTTTGGCTGATCTTAGTTCATTTATGGGAAACATTATTAAAACAAGCAAGGAAGCTAGCTTAGGCAAGCCGAAGCTTATATACCTTTGCAGTCATTAAATATGTGAAACAAAATACATAAAGGCTAAACAACATCGAAACTATGACGATTTTTCTATTAATTCTCCATATATTCGACTATTGAGACTTAAGTTTCCAGGGCGCCAATTTTGGGTAATTGGCCCAAAATAAACACTTTAATTAATAAAATTTTTCGATTTCTCGCACCGTTTACGAGATATCGAGCCTTAAATGTCGAATTATAGTGAGGGCTGGTAGCGGGCGAAATTACTTAATGCACATATTTATTTTTCGCGGAACTTACAATATTTGCGGTAAGACGGAGATTTAATTTTATTTTTTCAGTTTTTAGATCAGTTATTTTTATAACAATTACCTCAAAAATAATATAGCATATGTATCAATGCATAAGTGCACACGCACTGCCATATTATTTTTGAGATAACTTTTATAAAAAAAATTTCAGCCAATTTTCAGTTTTTAGCTTAGTTTTTTTTATAACAAATACCTGAAAAAATAATATACCATATGTATCAATGCATAAGTGCGCGCACTTATATTTGAGGTAATTTTTCTAAAAAAAAAATTTCCGGAAATTTTTCTAAAAAAAATATTTTTCTTTTAAGTAATTTTTCTAATAAAAAAAAATTTCCAGTAATTCTTTTAGTCCGTAGCCCGCCCGCCGTGACGTATAACGACTGCACTATAAGATAGAGATATCGAAAAATTTTGTTTATTAAATAGTGTTTATTTTGGGTCAATTACCCAAGATATGTCCTCAAATCTTGGCGCCCCGGAAACTAAAATCGTGCGTGCAGCTATATGATATAGTTTTCCGATTTTGATAAAATTTAATTCGTAATTCAAGAATCGTTAGAAAACTCTATATTCCAGAAATCATGCTTGTCTAATGAAGACCACGATGTTATAATGTTATTTCCGTTATTTCTACAGGGTGGGCCATTTAAATTTTACCCATTTGGCAACCCTGTAACTTTTGACAGCGTCGACAGATCGTCAAATGTCATACCACGTGGGAAGCGTCAGTCGAAGACAATTGATACCATGGAACAATACACTCCAAAGGACCGCGCTCAAATTGTTCAGCTCTACATTGAAAATAAATTCTCAATTGTGTCAACCCAACGTGCGTTTCGTAAAATGAATAAAGTTAAAAGTGGTCCAGTTAAAAACACAATTAAGTCTTTGTACGCAAAATTTGTAAACACCGGTAATCTAAGTAATGCCAGTCATGTATCCAGGCAACGAATATGCGCGAAGGTCATCATCGCACCGTATTTTTTCGAAGATAATGATGGAGCCACGATAACCGTCAATGGTGAGCGTTATCGAGCAATGATAACCGAATTTCTGATGCCTATTATTCGTGAAAATGTCATGGATAACTTCTGGTTTCAATAGGACGGGGCAACTTGCCATACAGCTAGAGCAACAATCGATTTATTGCGAACATTGTTCCCTGGGCGGTTAATATCGAAGAGTGGTGATTTTGACTGGCCCCCAACATCACCAGATTTGACGGCACCAGACTTTTATTTGTGGGGTTATTTGAAATCCAAGGTATACGCTAATAAACCAAAAACCTTAAGTCAATTAAAAGACAACATTAGACGTGAAATAGCCGCCATATCGTCTGAAACATTGACCAAAGTCATGGAAAATGCTGAAAAAGAATGCATTCGGATGTCAGAGCTAAAGGTGCCCATTTACGTGATATCATTTTTAATAATAATTTGTAAAAAATCTCCTTGGACCAAAATAAATGATTTTTGGAATAAAAAAAAATTGTCCACTTTTTTGTTTTTGTTTTAAGAATCAAATGGGTCAATTTTAAATGGCCCACCCTGTATATCGATTTTTCGACCTTCCAATGGCAGCTATGTGATAACTTTGTTTGATTTTAATGCATTTTTTTCTCGATTCAAGAGTTATTAAAGAGCTCCATATTTTGAAATTAATGCTCGCGGGATTAAAAACAACGACGTTATAATTTTTTTTTCCATTATTTATACATACCTATATTTTTCGATCTTTCCTATGACAGCTATGTGATAGAGTTATCCGATTTTGATAAAATTTAATCAATTTAAAATCAATTCGATCTGATCAAAAACAACGGCGTAAGAATTTTTTTATTTCAGGGGGATCAATCCTATCTACGCCACTGTAGTCAGCCGATCCGGTCTGTTCCGACTTATATACTGCGTGCAATAACTAACAACTTTTGGTAAAGTTTCCAAGATAGCTTTAAAACTGAGCGACTAGTTTGCGTAGAAAGGAGGACAGACGTACTTTAATTCAGATCGTGATTCTGATCAAGAATATATATTCATACTTATAGGGTCTGAGGTGTCTCCTTCACTGCGTTGCAAACTTCTGACTGAAATACCCTTTTGCTCTGCAAGGGTATACAAAATTTGATGAGGATTCAATCACTTTCGTAAGGACCAAAAACTGTTTTACTAGAAGTTAGAAAATGTTTGCGTTTTTAAAGCTGTGGATGGTCATATAGATGAAGTAAAATGATCGAGTGATCCGATGAAAGATCAGATAATTGTTCCACGTCAACATGAGCTCGAGGCACTTTTCTTGTGACGGCAAAATCAATCACGTCAGATTGCTTATTAGGATCTGTTGACCAATATGTAGGGTTACATAAAGTATATATATTCTTGATCAGCATCGGAATCTGAATCAAAATATGTATGTACGTCTGTCCGTCTGCAAGTCTGTCCGTCTGTCTGTTTCTATATAAACTAGTCTCTCAGTTTTGAAGCTATCCTGCTGAAACTTTCCCAAAAGTTGTGAAGTTATTGCACGTAGTATATAAGTCGGAACAGGCCGGATCGGCCGACTATATCGGATAGCTCCCATACGAGAGAATGAAATAAAAAATTCTTACGCCGTTGTTTTTGGTCATATCGACTTGATTTCTTCCAGGTTGCGTTTTCTAACTACTATTGAATGTCGGATTAAATTTGTATCAAAATCGGAGAACTCTATCATATAGCTGCCATAGGAAAGATCGAAAAATATATACATGTGCGAATAGTTTATAATGGTAATGATTATTTATTCACACTAAGGGAGATCAATTCGTTCGCATTCTCAATAGTAACATCAAATACAAAATATAGTTCAAAAATAACTCGTCTGCTAATTGTTGCGACGACTGCTGACGACTTCAAAATGACTGCTGCTTGCGGAACACGATGAACGACTCTTTTTTTGTTTTCCAATATCGCTCTCTTATCGAATAGTTCTGCAACCACCAGCCTTCAGTCCTGCCAACTTATTGCCACTTTACATACATACTTATGTATAAATTATAAGATGTCCATATATTTGGATATTTAATAATTTTTATGTGGAGCGGAGCTGCCACAGAGAAACAAAGTTGAGTTAAGTTTTATTTATATTTATTGCGAGGAGGAACCGCTCGCTCGCTTCATCAAATCATAACTGAATACAGGAATATAAACTTAAAGCTAACAAAAGGTTTTCTCACAGCGGCTACGCAAATATGCTGAGTTGGCCGTCTGTGCGGATGCAAACAGTCCAATGCTGGGTCAGCCAAGAATCCGATGCATGGTCACGGACTTATTGTCCGGTTAACTTAATTAACTATTAACAATTAGCGCTACCTGATACGTTTGGGTGTTGTTGTCCTCTTCTCCCACTTTCTGGATGAACCTCAAGTTACGTTCATTGAGGCGATGAAGGTAAGGGAGGCTCAAAATTTCGTGGATGCCGGTTATGTTCAACAAAGGTGAGCTTGCCACTCCCGGATTCCTTTTCCGGATGTTGTCATGGTTGATGAACATGGTTCCGTTAATCACAACACGATCGTTGAATGTTATGAGATACGTGCCACGTAAGGAAACATCCGGGCCATTGTCAACTCGAACCTGCGCTAAACAGTCATTAATTATGATAGTGCCTTCATCCACTTGAGTGACCGGGTGCAAGTCGCTCGGTTGGGTATCGCAATGCGCAACACCTCCTGCGTGAAGATTTCTGGCGCATGAGCCACTCACAGATAGCTGACAGAATGTGGCACCAGGTGTTGCGGTGCAGTTTTCAACTTGATGGACTCTTCCATCACATTCCGCAACGACGTTGTTCTTCATCCGTACGATCACATCATGGTGGGCGACTGGGAAAATGGTGACCTTCCTACATACAAACTTTATTACAGGAAATTTTATTATAAAGTACAAGACATTGGTAGATTGAAGTATTTTTACGGACGCAACGGACAAAATATCCCTAATGGGGGTGTTGGTGGGGTCTTCCAGCCAAACTGATTCTAAATCTGCATGGTCTAATATATTAGGGCTGACAATATCGACTTTAGCCAATGCAATGGCGAGCATTAAATTTTGCAATTCCATCATTAACATTATATTACGAGCAAGAAGAGTTTCATATAAATGTTCGGTGTTAATTTCTGATTTTTTTTGCCACATTCAGAATTTGGTTAACTGTAACTGTTAGTTGATTAATTTGATTTTGGACTTTGTTATTTATTTCTATCTGTCTGTTATTCGAATTTACTAACTGAGATTCCGTAAATTTAATTCTTTCCAAATCATTAGCATCTGGAGTTCCCGCTACAACCTTAAGTATAGACCCTAAGAAGTCTAGACTTCTTGCCAATGTGGTGCACTCCTAATGAGTCCCGAAGGTGATCGATGTTCGCATTCAGAAGCATCTTCATGTGCGACCGTGGAAACAAGTCGCTCATGCCGGCGGTCTCTTCCACAACTCGTCTGAATTCCGAAAGATTAGAAGAGTGGGTGACTCGTGCGTATTCCTCCCATACTAGAATGCGGCCCTCCACAACTGGAATGTACTTGGCTTGAGAAAAGTCGGTAATGTGCGCCGACGCCAAGGATAGGGAAAGGAGGATGGCAAGACTGAACCTGCGAAATGGAATGGGTACTTTTTACTTTCTGGTTTACTCATGCAGAGGCTTCCCACCACCAAAAGGAATGTCTTAAATGATAAATCTTAGGCTCGAAGATGGATCTTATAACTAATCTTATATATCTTATAAAAGGTTTTGCTTAATAATGAAAAATGAATAAAAATTACGGGAGCTGCCTGAAGATCTTACTTTAGGTTGTCCTTGTGGACCACCCTCCCCTTAATGAGGACCGTGGTCCCCAGGTCCGCTTCAACGATTTTTTCCTCACACAGTGGTGTGAGTTTATTGCCAAGCCTTTGACTTTACCAAAACTTTCTCGCCGACTTCGAATGTTCTGCATTGTAGGGAGGCATTTTCCCTAGCCCTAAGCGTGTTTTGCGCCCTAACGATCTTATTCTGGACGTCCGTCTGTGGGTCGTTTGGGTGCTTTTGCACGATGTCGACTGGCCGTTTGTCAACGACAGAGTGAATTGATTTACTATATTTGGCGGTTGCCAATAAAATAATTTCCACAGTATCGGTTATCCCCTTGTCGATTTTTAGGCAACGAGCAAGCTCCAAGAGGGTGCTGTGAAAGCGCTCTACTTGCCCGTTTGAAACGCTATGAAGTGGTGGGGCATTTGCAATGCTGACGCCAAAATGGTTGTCAAGCATGGCTGAGATAGTGTGCGAGTTTAACGAAGGTTCATTATCGCAATAGACTACTCTAGCCCTAGGGAAAAAGTTCATGATTTGGAGTATGGCCGGTTTAAGATCCTCGATTGTCCTAGAGTGGACATGTTGCACAACTGCAAACTTCGAAAACTTGTCGATGCAAGTGAGGAAGTATTTCTTGTCTGTGGAAAAGATGTCGATATGTAGCAGTTCTCCCACATGAGAGGGGATCGGAGTCTCGCCTAGCTCATGCTTTTTTGGGTGCCTATCGTACTTGGCTTTCGCACATGTTTTGCAGTTTGCTACAATCTCGGTGGCTAGCTTGGCCATCTTTGGAAAGTAGTACTCGGAGAGTATCTGCTTAAAATTTTCTTGGGCCGATCTGTGAGCCCTGTTGTGCTCGACGGTGAGGATTTCCCGTCTCTCAGGAACTGCAAAAATATCCGTTACACGGTTTTGTTTCCAAAGAGGACGAAGCTGCGTTTTAACGGAAAGCGTGCCTCCTCCAGAACAATTTGGTTCTGGAAGCAGTTAAGCGGCTTGTCGGTTGTTTCTATAGCGTGAGTTAGTGATATCTCACTGTGAATTGTCGCCACGCAACACTCAGCATCTTGCGTTTCCATGGCGTTCAGTTGCTGTCTTGATAGCGCATCAGCAACTAAATTCTCTTTGCCGGGTGTGTAAAAAACTTTTGCACCGGCTTCGTCTATGCGCGCCTTCCACCTTTTGATTTTGGAATTGGGATTTGATTCCGATACCAAGAACGTTAACGGCTGGTGGTCGTAATTTCCCAAGTGCCCAAACAATGGCCAAAAGTTCCCTTTCATTGGTGGCGTAGTTTACCTCCCTATCCTTCAATGTTCTCGAAATCATTGTGATAGGTCGACCCTCTTGAGAGAGCACCGCACCAATTCCATAGGCTGAGGCATCCGTCGTTAGATCGAATGCCTTTTTGTAGTCCGGATATCTAAGCATGACATCTTCAGACGCTAATATGTTGCGCAATTTATAAAAAGCCTGCTGCTGTGCTTCAGAAAACTACACTGGAATATTTCTGGATCTGTACCTGGATACACTTCCATTCTCTCCTTTCAGGATTTCTGAGATAGGTCTGGCAATCGTTGCGAAGTCTTTTATAAAGCACCTGTAGTAACTTGCAAGACCTAGGAATGACCTTACCTCAAATACATTCTTTGGCTCGGGGAACCCCTTTATAGCCTTTACTTTTTCCGGGTCTGTTGTGGTGCCACTACTGGTGACGATGAACGCAAGGAAATTTACGCTTTTCTTAAAAAAGCGTGATTTTTTGGTGGATACTCTCATGTTTGCATCGTATAGGCTCTTAAGAACCCAATCCACATGCCTAAGATGAGAGTTTTCATCCTCCGAAAAAATGATGACATCGTCTACGTAGACGTAGCAGAACTTGCCGATTTGCTCTCGCAGAATATCGTCAATAGTTCTTTGAAAAATACTGGCGGCATTTTTCAGGCCAAATGGGAACCTTCGAAATTCGTATTTTCCCCCGTTTACGGAAAAGGAAGTTTTCTCGCGGTCTTTCTCTGCGAGAATAATTTGATGATAGCCGGATTTCAGATCCAGCGTCGAAAAGTACTTGGCTTTGCCAAGGTTACCAAGTGTCATCGAGATATTCGGCATGGGGTACCTGTCGGCAATTGTCCTCTCGTTTAGCTTGCGAAAGTCTATGACCAGTCGCAAATTTCTATTGCCCGCCTCATCAATACCCTTCTTATCTACGACCCATATCGGGTTATTGTAAGGAGAGGCCGACTTTTGGATTATACCATTTTTTAGCAGGTCTCGGATCTCCCTATTGACGAAGTCCGCTGCTCCCATGGGGTACGGGTATAACTTAGCATAAATTGGATCTTCGCTCTCTGTTCTGATGGTGGCTACCACCGAAGTGTTGTAGGGTAAAGCTTCGTCAGGGTCTGCGAAAGCTTTACTCCTACTTTTGAGCATTTCCAAGAACGCATTTTTTACCAAGGGCGGTGCATCTGAGCAATCCACGTTAGTGAAGTTGACATCAGGGCATTTTTGGAACGAAATACTTTCACCCTCTGTGCCCCATTTGAGCTGACCAGAAGCTAAGCAAAGAGATGCCCCTGCCTGTTTTAACAGGTCGTGGCCAATTTTCCCATCAAAGGACGACAAGTCTGGTAGTATAAAGAAAGTGGCCTTTATATTAAATAGTGAGACGAAGCATTTTTCTGTTATCATAGTCCCGCCATGAATTGAGTGGATTGAAAACGGTGATTCCACTGGGCGGACACCTCTTAACACCTTGTGGGGCCGGATAAAGTTTTTGGACGCCCCGGTGTCGATGAGGAACTTCATCTCTATCCCTGCTACTCTTCGTCTGATGAAAGGTAGCAGGGATTTTCGACGTCATCGTCGATCGCTCGCGCCGCGCTGGCGGCAGTGCGGTCATAGGACTGTGGGCCACTTTCCACACTTTGCGTGGTATGATGAAGCGTCTGCTGCCTCTACGGGCCACCTGACCGCTCGGATGTAGCAGGTCTTCTATTTTGGGAGGCCTGCGCGTGAGTGGGTGGAATTATTTTCGAAAGGGAGGGATCAACCTCCATAGGTTCCGTCTTAAAGACGTTACTATTGCGGTGCTTATAGGCGTTTTGGTCTGAGTGGACCTGTGCCTTATATTGTTGTTTACTATAATGCGGATTTTTGCCGCTGAAAGCGTCTGTTTCCTGAGGTGCCCTTCCCTGCTGGCCCTTTTGCCCTTTTTCAACCGGCCTACGGTCCTTATCCTCTTGGCTTTTAGCGAAAGTAGCCGCAAAGGCATATCTCTCATGATTAGATTCGACTTCTTGTGCCAAAGCCAGAGCCGACGGTAAATCTTTTGGCTTTGCTGCGAAAAGTACGTCTGTTAGGTTTCGTCTGAGACCCGATATGAAGACCCTCAACGCATCGTCACGGAATTTTTCACACAGGATTTTTGCCATACCTGTATCATAGGACATATTAACCTTATTGGTCAGCAAGGTGAGCTTCTTCTCGACCTCGTCATAATACTGCAACAAGTTTAAGCCCCCTTGTCTTAGGGTGCCCAATTCTTGTTCGATGACGTGCATCGGACGTTTGTCACTGTAAGTGAAATCAAGGCGACTTATTATCGCATCAAAATTCAGTACAGTGCCGAATGATTAAAGGACCGCATCGGCGGGGCCCCTGATTTTGCTTCTTATAATTATTACAGCCTGATAATGGCGAGAACTGCCATTGTGCCGTCTGAATATTTCATAAGCAGCGACGGCCGCTTGTCTCCAAGAGACGTATGCTTCTTGGGCTCCCGAGAATTCCGGGAGACATTTGACGGCATCTAGAGGCTCATCACGACGAACCTCATCCATAATCTTTATGGCTTCATACACCCTTATTTCTGGGGCCGGAGCTGAGGTCGGTGCGACGCGCACCGCTTCTACTCGAGCGGCGAGCACATCAATTATTTGCCGTAGCTCTTGTTCCTTACGCTCGTTCTGGGCGGCCTGCTCTGCCGACGGCAGTTTCAATGATGGCTTTAAGCTGTTCTGAGTCCATGGCTGTGGCCTTGGGACGTTCTACGATTGCTAAATTTGCAAGCGAAGCTAAAATGTCTCCCTTCACCCCCAGATTCCGAATCGCTAGAATAATGTTTCCCGCTTCTATAGCAATTGAATGCGTCATTCATGAGTAGTCAGACGGTCAGACTGACACATACGAGCAACAGTTTGCATGGGCAGACCCAATAAAAGGGAACAAAAATAAACTAAGATAAAACGAACCTGTTGCAGGTTTCGTATTACCGCACGGAGGCAGCGAAATAACAACCAAAGAAGGAAATAACAAAACCTAAAAATGTTTACGTTGCATTTAATGATTAAATTAATTTTTACTTGCACTTTTATAGCTAAAATTATTTGAGTTGGATGTTCTTTATTTCGATTTCTGACAGTCTTTCCAAAAGAAAACAAAACGTATTTCCCTCTGAAGTGGCGTAAAAAATCACAATGAGAAATTGGTTAAATAATTATTTGTAAGTGTTAAGGAAAAAAGTTGTCCTAATGCAAAATATTAATGAAGTAATTCAATTAAGGGGTTATCCTACCCTGGAGGCCCAAAAAAAGGCCTATTTTCGTGAATTTTTTTCAAAGCTCCTGGGATATTCTTACAATTTTTGTTTATTGAATATGAATATATAATGCTTCAACTATAATCTGTAAAATTTTGAAAAGAAAATATTAAAAAATGAGCGAATGAGAATGCCTGAAAGTTGACCCCATCAAAAATAGTGCCCTGGCGGTAGTCAAATTTTCTCCGCCAATGTTCATCTGAAATCAAAAATCCAAAATTTTTCTTTAAGTGTATGTGTCCGACTCGTGTTTGAACGAAGGATTTTTTTTAAAATTAAAAATTGAATTTTTTACAACGTTTTTTATAAAAAATGACGTTTTTTGCATACATTTTGACCA